TCTGGGTTCGCGCGCTCGAAAAAATAAGCGAAAATTAGTCAACAGGCGGTGCAAAAGCGATTAAAAATGATAATCGAAAAGCAGAAGCGAGCAGGAGGTTGGGTGAAATTAGTGCTGTACATTCAGGTCCTTTGTAAAAATACGATCGGCCAAGATCTATATCATTCTGAGGCACGCTAGAGACAGACAAAATGCAGTTTTAAATATTGACACCGTTCGTATTTTTACATGTAAATGAGTCAAAAAATAGCGATGATCGATCGAAACAGACTCGTTTTGCAAGTTTTAACGGCTACGTTCTGCTGAAGATGTAATACTTTACTTTCGGAGTTATTACCGAAGATAATGTACGACAGCAAAAAAACAACAACATTTGGTTATGTGAAATAGATTAGCATTCATGTAGGTCCAATCAGTACTGTTGTATCGTTTATTTCGTCAACCGAACGTTACTACCCGGACCTGCTCGTCGATTATTATTGCAAATGTCATTTCTTTCTCCCTGGTCAATGAATCCAGAATCAATTGGGTATAAGTACGTTATTTTAGAATGATTTTCATTTGGTTTCACGTGATAGTTAATCTGATTTATCATATAGCATTACAAACAGGAAGTCCTCGGCATGGGTCACAGTACTAGTACTAGTATATCCCAGACCACTCGTTTTGATGAATGGTCTGGGTGTGGCTTGTGGGTAACAATAGAAAATGAATTTCGGTGAGGTTGTGATTATTTGGATTTTTGAGAACGGATTTTTGCTATTGAAATGAAATCATCACGTCTAAGGGTGAATGGTTAATAGGTGAAGTGATGTTAAAAACATAAGTAGTTCATCTTTTTGCGTACACCACCACAACAAAGGTTTATTTTTTAACACAGATCTCCAGTCGTTTGGCGTTTGGACGTAACCCCGGAGTTAAACCATAGATAATATAGTAGAAAGGACAAGCAACTCCAGCGATTCTATTGTAGCAGGGTAGGCTGGAAAAATATAAACTAAATGTTTATTTCGATTTCTCGTTAAGGTAGAGATGCAGCTTACCTGACAGGTATTTTAATTAGTTAATTAGGCAACCAAGATGACCCCCCTTGTCCACAAAACTATATATTTTTGGAAACCTTATTGTATGAATTTAAAATTTTGTAAGTATTTTTTTCTATGGACACTGTAAACCATAGACAATATAGTAGGAAGGACAAGCAACTCCAGCGCTTCTATTGTAGCAGGGTAGGCTGGAAAAAAGTTAAGCTGATTTAAACTAACCGTTAACATAAACTAAATGTTTATTTCGATTTCTCGTTAAGGTAGAGATGCAGTTTACCTGACAGGTATTTTAATTAGTTAATTAGGCAACCAAGAAGACCTCCCTTGTCCACAAAACTATATATTTTTGGAAAGCTTATTGTATGAATTTAAAAATTTTGTAAGTATTTTTTTTATGGACACTAGTTTGAAATAAGCACAAAAATGTGTATTTTTGGTCAAAAGTGATTTTAAAAAAATTAGCTTCTAAACCATGCTTCTGTTTCCTGTCAAAATTGGTTTACGGGTACATCTGTTTACTATGAAGAAAGTGTCGTCTTGAAAACTCTGTTTTTAGGCGGCGAGAGTCGTGAACTCTCGCGAAAT